TTTTCTTAAAAGATAAATATTAAGTAAAGAAAAGCTTTGATATCATTTAGGACACATGTTTCCAATCCAAGCGTTTATGTGTGGATTATCAAAAGTACTTTTTAGTGTAAAAATAAATAATAATGTATATGTAAAGAGAGAGGCTTGTAGTAGAAACTATGTGGAAATTTAAAGTTTGTGAAATAATGTGTAATGAACACAAGAATTTAAACATATTTGGTGAATGAAAGTGCTTTTTGTTGCCATTTATAGAAATATATTTGACTATCGATAAAGTATTTTCAATTATTCTCTTATACTCAACTCACTCGAGCATAGTTATGTAGATAAATTGTCAATTACCATCTGAAATATTGATAGTTCGAATTCCACCTTTATCGTTTAAACCGTCGGAATGAATGACTTGAATGTCTAAATAAGTAATGAAGTTCGAATGAGGTTTATCCACTTAACTATTTCAGATATGGATAATTTGATCTCCACTTACCATTTGAAAAAAGATTGATTTTTTGTCATGATTTAAATGAATGGCTTGGATGTCTAAACAAGATATGAAAGACCAATGAAGTCGGTACCCAATTCGAGTATAGTTATATGGATAAAGTATCAATTACCGTATAAAATATTAGGTTCGATCTCCACCCACCGATCGTTGAAAATATTGGATTTTTTTTGTTCGGATCATACATGAATGCCTTTGATGTCTAAACAAGACGTGAAAGGTCAATGAAGTCAATACTCAATCCGAGTATAGTTATATGGATAAAAATATCGATTACTATATGAAATATTAGGTTCGATTTCCACCCTCCAATCCTTGAAAAAAAATTGGGTTTTTTGTTTTTATCTAATCGAATGGCTTGAATGTCTAAACAAGACCTGAAAGGCCACTGAAGTTTGTACCCGATGATACGAATATAGTTTCGTAGATAAAATATTAATTATTATCTGAAATATCAATGATTCGATCTTCCTTATACATCGTTGAAAAAATTGGAAATTTTTTTATTTGGATACAAAGGAATGGTGTGGATGAATGACTAAACAAGACATGAAAGGGCATTGAAGTGGGAGAGCTTTTATTAAATATCAACATTGATAAACACTATGATCTTTGCCTTTCCGCACTTTTTAGTTACATGTTGGTATCATGCTTAACAGTTGTATTGCCTTGTGGAAAAACCATCTTCCATTTTCTTTTATAGCCAATTTTGGATTAAAACCCTTCAAAGTTTAATGCTTTAATGCAAAACATTAATGTTTATCGAAAAAAAAAAGAGTTTGATTCGTCTAATCCATCGATTTTTATTATTATTATTACTATTAATATCTACTATTGGGTTATGTCTGAATTAACCTCTAATCTGTAAGCTTAAACTTGACGGTCATGTGTATGTGTGAGATCTCATACCAGTTGGAGAGGAGAACGAACCAATTTTTATAAGGGTGTGGAAACCTCTCTCTAACATACCGTTTTAAAACTTTGAGGAGAAACCCAAAAATAATAATATCTACTAACAATGAGTTTTGACTGTTTCAGTACGCATGTGAAGATATGGGTGTGGGTATACACGTGTACGCGTGCACACCAGTGAGAGAAGGGGTCACTAGAATAGTCTCGATAATAAGTATTGTTCTACGTAATACTCATTATATAGTTGCACACGGCCACTATCTACTTTGTAAAGGAGCAATATTTGTACGATTTCACTATTGGTTGGGTAAAATCTTCGACCTGGACGTACCTTTAAAATTTTAGGTCAAATCCATATAGAATAGATTGAATTGATTTATGAGCCACCTTGCACCAATGATTCTACTTCAGCTCACAAAAACACCCTTTGAAGCATAGATAGGCTTCCAAATATGCACTAACCATCCCTTTTGGACTTTGTTTTTTCTTTCTGGATAGTCTTAAATGTTTGGATTGGCCTAATTTTATGGTCTTTTTTTTATTTATATGTAATTATTTCAATTCTTTATTATTATTATTATTATTATTTTCTTCTTTTTGGTTTGATTGTGAGTGTGGCTGGCTGGATCTCACTCTTGTGGCTTCTATTAAAGTATAAAAGAAAAGGTTGGATAAGAAAAATATTATGAATATGAAAATAATATAAAGTATTCATTTAGTTTTTTATTGCCTATTTTTTTTAGACGGTTAAAAAGTCGTTACGAGTGATCCTTAAGTAACTTTGTTAAGAATGAGAAATAGAATATGGATCGAAGGTGTATATTCTTTATTGATATTCATAACGTTTAAATAGAATACAAGCTACCAACTAATATCTACCAATTAAAAAAAATATAAACTAATTAAATATTGATAATAAAATAAAATATACTACGGATCAAATCATAAATGAAATAATATTAACTGATTACGAATATGTAAAATATATTCCATAACTAATTATTATAATATATTCTCCAAATATTATATCTCAACAAACTTGTTAAAGTTTATATTATTATAGACACCGCTCTTATCGTATTTTAACTTTGTAATAGATATCAACTTTTTTTTCCCTTTTGTTCTACCATTCGATTTTATTTGCAAATGATTAAATAACATTTTTCAAATATAGCAACACCAGTACGTGCACCATTGATGTAGTCATTGATTATTAACGGGATGAGCTTAATCCTACATTGATAGCTATGTGGTAGATAATTAGCCAAAATTGGAGATCTATCAATTTTAATAAGAAAAAGGCCTGGCATGTTTTTTTTTTTTTTGTTGAATACTCTCTTGAATTTCTTGTTTGAATAGGAAATTGTTTGAAACGTTATACACCAAATAGTTATAGACCCAAGTAATTCGGAAAATGAAATCGACGTACAATTCACTAAAGTTATTACTCGTTTAATCTCATTTGGGTCTTTCCATTTAACTCTTCTCTTTTCTATTTCAACTTTCTCACTCGACAAAAACTAATACCGTATCGTCATCTAACCTAATATCATTAGGAAACAAGTTATTTACATAACAACTAAACTAAGAACATATCGTTTTCGTTTCAAATTATTGTTGGGTTTCCATGAAGTTGGAAAGCCGTGAGACAAGCAACAACTGACCAACGCTATCTTGCACGGTTTGAAATATAATCGACATATATTCATTCCTATATTAAAGGTTTGAGATCTTTATCGGGAATTGATATACATATCTCTTTTAAATTTATGTAATACTAGATGAAGACGGCACAAACGTGTTCATACAAAAGAAATTTGAGGGCACAAATTAATTGATGTACAATAGAAAATATGTTCTAGCTGCATCTATAGGATGAGAGACAGAAATTTGACGTAATCAGCTCAAAAGAGTAAATACAAACTTTTTAAGTTTTTTTTTCCTTTTTGGGATTAAATTTGGCATAAATTATTGCCAAAAACATGGGGCTTAACGTGAAAGCAACTTCTAAATTGGCTCATAACTCCCTTGACATCACAATGATGCATATCCAAAACAACAATCAAACATTGTATACTCAGTTTATAACCTTTAATAACACTGTAAAAGGATCCCATCAATTACTTAAAATATATATATATTAGTCAAACTATAATATATATATATATACCGGTGAAAGATTAAAATCTCGGACCTTAAATTTGAAGGTATACTTTGACCAGTTAACGTAAATAGATACAATAATATTCACATGTAACTCGTGTGTAATACACTTTTAATAATAATGGAACTAATTATTCTTACAAAATATTTGTGAATCGAATCACTACCATATCAATCTATTTGTTTTAATAACCTCGAATGATAAGTTTGGACACTTCATTTGAATTTATTCTTCCAACTGTTGTATCACATTTTCCTCCAATCAAATCATTCATATTTGTGAGATCCTACAGTGAGGAGAACAAAACATTTCTTATAAAAGTGTGGAAATCTATCTCTAGTGACGTGTTTTAACAATCGTGAGGCTAACAGCGATACGTAACGAGCCAAAGCGGACAATATGTGCTAGCCGTGGATTTGAGCGGTTACAAGTGGTATTAAAGCCAGACACCAGGTGGTGTGCTCGTTGGTAGCCCCCAATAAGAGTGAATTGTGAGATCACACATCAGTCAGAGAAGGAAAAGGCTAACGGTAATACGTAACGAGTCAAGACAGACAATATCTGCTAGTAATGAACTTGGACTATTACAAACGATATCAGAGCGAGACACTAGGCAGTGTGCTCGTTGAGTCCCCAAAAGGGGTGGATTGTGAGATCACACGTTGGTTGGACAGGAGAACAAAACATTTTTTACCAGGGGTGGAAACCTCTCCCTAGTACACGTATTTTAAAAATCGTAAAACTATCAAGAGAACAAAACATTTCTTACAAGAGGGTGAAAACCTCTCCCCTAGTACACGTATTTTAAAAACCGTGAAACTAAAATCGATACGAATGTACCAAAACGAACAATATCGGCTAGTAGTACTAAGTTTGGAGAAGCTCAAGATGGATCTCGGTTAATGTATAGGAATATAATAAAGTTTCACATTCCCTATATCTTATTAAAGGGAGTATCCAATCTTTAATTGCAAAGGATATCCTTTGAAGAAACTAGTAAATCCCAACACAGCTATCTCAAGTTTCATCCTACATAATGTCTGAATACCATGTGTTCTCTCCAGCCAATTTACAAGCTTCAAGCTTATGAGAGAGCTGTGATTATCTAACCTAACTAGATTTTGAGACATGATCATCTAATCTAAGTAATTAGTCACAGTAGCCAATGTAGCAGTCACAACTATGAGATATTTACAGAAAGAAGTTAAAAAACATCTTAACTATATGCCTACATTGAGCCAAATCAATGTCAAAACATATATGGGCACTGAGTGATGCATAAGGGTGACATTAATTAAAAACAATACTAATCAAAAGAATCTATGTCATATCTCTTTCTATCAAGCATAAAACATTTAAAAACAAAATCCCTGTAATGTTTGTTGTTTGGAATCCTTGGGAGGCCAAAAGAATAGATTAATCAAAGTTCACTGCATCTCAAAGGGAGTGATCAATACTGTAAAAAGAAGAAGAAGAAAAATAAAGGGTTTTTGGACATTTGGATGACCCCACAATTCTCTCTCTAAATCTCTACCGTTCAACCCATTCTTCCCTTGTCTATTTATACACACTTCCTATTTTGTTTAGAGTCTCAAGACTTGTGTCTTTTCTCATCAGCATTACATTACTTCACAAACTTCCCCCTCTGCTTTGCTCTCTTCCTATAGTTACTTCCATCAAACATCATTCATCAATGGCTTGCTTGGGGATGATTTGCAATGAGGTCAGTATCAAATAAAACCAACTTTTCTCTTCTTTTTCTCTGTCTCTCTCTCTGTGTTTAGAGTTTTGAATATGAAGAAGAAGAAGAAGGAGAAGAAGCACATTTCACAGTGAATTTTGTTTTATGGGTACAGAATTTGAAGGATTGTGAGACAAAAGAGAGGGATGTTTGCACTCTTGATGGGACGGTTGATTGGCATGGCCAACCTGCAATCAAATCAAAATCTGGAGGATGGGTTGCTGGGATCATCATACTCTGTAAGACCTTAATACCATCTCTCTCTCTCTCTCTCTCTCTCTCTCTCTTACACACACTTAAATGACCCATAAATCAACTTATTTCTCTATAAGCTTCTGTTAGTAAATTTTCAACATTGAGCACTTCAACCAAGATTCTATCTCCTACTTGTTATCTTCATTAGCTTTATGGGAGAGGGAGAGAGAAGAAGAGGAAGAAAGCAGAAAGTGCAGAGCTTATAGGGATATGTAGGAAGTGGTTTCAGAAAAATCGAGAAGTTTTGGTGGGGTGTTAGAGGGAAAGAGAAATAGTTGTTAATGTTTTGTTTGGATTTGGAAAAGATAAGTGGAGGTTCATACTAGAGATGTGAAAGAGCTTCTCACTGATTTAATAAATACAGAAAAGAACAGAAAATGAGAGAAATAAGGATGGGTTTATTGCCTTACATTTGGCACCACACAACCAGCCAAGTGTTGGAGCCTCCTTGCATGCTACTCTCTCCTCCACCTAATTCAGGCCACCCCAAATTGACATTAGCAATTAGCAAGAGAGAGAGGGGAGGGGGCAAGAAACCAAAAATGATGAGAGAAATTTATCGAGAACTATGATTTATTGTCGCATTCACTCCATGGGAGCTGGACGACAAGAGAGGGAGATTTCTCAAGGACTGTGCTTTCTTGCCCCCATTGACTCCATGGGAGCTGGACGACAAGAGAGAGAATTTTCTTAAGAACTGTGCTTTCTTGCCTCATGCCTCATTGACTCCATGGGAGATGGACGACAAATGATGGAGTTGGGGGAGAATAACCGTAATAGCCGAGAAAAAGAAAGATTTACCCCTGACAAAACTACTGTATATTATTATTAATAAGAATCATGGATCTCTACAATAGTATAACCTCTCGTTGGACTTCTAAAAAAAACTTTCATACAGAAATAGAGATATATTTCTTACCTATAAACCTACTCACACGGTGATATTCCTTACTTATCACCTACAAACCTTGGCTAATCTTCTAAATCAGCGGCCTCCCTTCTATTCAGTTTTACAGGGAGAGATGGGGTATTTACTGAGAGAGAGGTGGGGTAAATGCATGCATCAACCATAGAAGTGTCAGACACGTAATCAACTATTTTGACATGGCATGACGTGGATTTTCCACGCGTCGTTTCAATTACCAAGAAGAATTACACGTGAAATTTAATTAGTCTCGGTTGATGACCCAGAACTCCACACCTCTAAATTTTTTATTTTTTTCTCCCCGTCTGCCAAAGAGAGAGAGAAAGAGAGACCATGATTAAGCATACATCAAGCAGAGACGTGTCAGACACGTAATTAACTATTTGGACATGTCATGACGTGGATATTCCACGCGTTGTTTCAATTACCTAGAAGAATCACACAATAATTTAAGTAGTCTAAGTTGATGGCCCTGAGCTCCACATCTCTACATTTAATTTTTCTTCTACTTCCCCTTTCCTTTTTTCTGCCTCTTTACCAATCGCTTTTTAAAAATCTACAGAAAAGGACTTGAAAATATATCATAATACTAAGTTGTAGAGAATTTTTTCAGAGAAGCCATTAGAGGGATAGCAGAAAACTCAAGGTAGAGTACTAGAATAGCATCTATAACTTTGTCTGAATTTAGCTCATAAGAAACTCTGACATCACAAATCTTCTTCTACAAGTAATGGAAAGGAAGAAAATTTATTGCATGTTGCTTAACATTCCTCCATTATCAACGAAGGAAAATGTCTCGCAAGCTGGATGTTAATGGGAACAGGAGATTAAAGAAACACGACTCCTTTTGGTGGAACTTACCAAAGAGGAAAGACCTTTTCCTTCAAGCAAAGCAAGGGTCTAAAAGCCATCTAATAGTGAAATTCACGATGGACTTGCTCTGTTACTGTCCGCATAATACCATTTTTATTGGTCTTATTGGAGAGAGAGAGAGAGAGAGAGGGAGATAGAGAGAAGAGTGTAACAAGCTTCCCTTCCTATCATGCACACACCAGGCCATAACTATCTATGATGTGTAGAGAGTCCACTTGAGATTCTTATGAAGTTGGTTCACATGATTATACCACTTACAGATAGCTATGTGTAGTACTCAGATCATCTACCGGTTTTGTTTTGGACTTTCCTAAAAAGCCTCCAATCGAGATGTATTTCTTATTTATAAATTCATGAGCTTTTTAGGACTTCTCTAAAAGGCCTCTAATGGAGATCTATTCCTTATTTATAAACTTATAATCATTCTCAGGACTCCCACCAATCTCACCAATCTTTTCACGGATTCTAATGTGGGTCTGAATTGAAATCTGGTCTGTCTAACTTGTCTTCACTTCTCAAAGCACTTTCAGCTCTTTAATAGACAACAATGTGATGAGAAAAGCCAAACCACTAGGGAAATCAAACTAATTGGGAGAAATTTAACATGTATTCACCATAAAATGAAGAACGAACCTAACATCATATTTGGTTCAACCCTGACTTGCTGCTTCTCACAATAATACAGTGAATCAAGGTCTCGCAACTCTTGCGTTCTTTGGGGTTGGTGTGAACCTGGTGCTGTTCCTGACAAGGGTTATGCAGCAAAACAATGCCGATGCAGCCAACAGTGTGAGCAAATGGACCGGGACAGTCTATATCTTCTCTCTTGTAGGGGCTTTCCTCAGTGATTCATACTGGGGAAGGTACAAAACTTGCGCCGTTTTTCAGATCATCTTTGTCATTGTACGTACAGTACACTAAAACCCTTATAGATTTCCCTGCTACTAACAGAAACCTCTCTCTTTAACTGCTACCTCACCTTTCTTTATTGCAGGGCCTGGCTTCACTTTCCATAACATCACAACTCTTCCTTATCAAACCAAAAGGTTGTGGGGATGAGGACACTCCATGCGAGTCAAATTCAAAATTGGGGAATGCATTGTTTTACCTCTCCATTTACCTTATTGCTCTGGGAAACGGGGGATATCAACCAAATATTGCCACATTTGGAGCAGACCAATTTGATGAAGAGGACTCCACAGAGGGGCACTCAAAAGTGGCCTTCTTTAGCTACTTTTACTTGGCGCTTAACTTGGGCTCTCTCTTCTCAAACACCATTTTAGGGTACTTTGAAGATGGAGGACTGTGGGCTTTGGGCTTCTGGGTGTCAACTGGCTCAGCTTTTGCAGCCTTGGTTTTGTTTCTTTGTGGAACTCCAAGGTACAGGCACTTCAAACCAAGTGGTAACCCTTTCTCAAGATTCTGCCAAGTCATTGTTGCTGCAGCTAAGAAATCAACGGTCAAGATGACACCAAGTGAAGATGAACTCTACAATGTTGATGCCAAGGACTGTTCAGTAAACCGTGGTAGAAAGATACTTCACACCCATGGATTCAAGTAAGGACATTTACATTTCAGTTCCATTTCTTTAAACAAGTCTGTGTCTCTCGCGAACTTCTTTCACGCTCATAGAATTTTTTTTATTTAAAAACACAACAAAAAGATCATAGTCAGCATCTCAGTCAAGCTTGTTCTTCTATATATTGTAGGTTTCTGGATAGGGCAGCCTATATCTCATCAAGAGATCTGGATAACCAAGAACGAGGCATTGACAATCCATGGCGCCTGTGTCCCATCACACAAGTGGAAGAGGTCAAGTGCATTTTAAGACTACTTCCTATCTGGCTCTGCACCATAATCTACTCCGTGGTCTTCACTCAAATGGCTTCCCTCTTCGTCGAGCAAGGTGCAGCCATGAACACTGTTGTTTCAAACTTCCATATCCCACCTGCGAGCATGTCAAGCTTCGACATTCTTAGTGTGGCATTTTTCATCTTCCTTTACCGACGAGTCCTAGACCCACTTGCAGGAAAACTCAAAAAATCAGATTCTAAAGGGATTACAGAGCTTCAGAGAATGGGAATTGGTCTCATCATAGCAGTGATGGCAATGGTTTCAGCAGGAATTGTAGAGTGTTATAGGCTAAAGTACGCCAAAGGCGACTGCGCACATTGTGAAGGCTCAAGCTCCTTAAGCATCTTTTGGCAGGTTCCACAGTATGCATTAATAGGAGCTTCCGAGGTCTTCATGTACGTGGGACAATTGGAGTTCTTCAATGCACAAACCCCAGACGGATTGAAAAGCTTTGGCAGTGCACTTTGTATGACATCAATCTCTTTGGGGAATTATGTCAGTAGTCTTCTGGTCACTATGGTTATGAAAATATCAACAGAGGATCACATGCCAGGATGGATTCCAGGAAACCTGAACAGAGGTCATCTAGATAGATTTTACTTCCTCTTAGCTGGATTGACAGTAGTTGATTTTGGGGTGTATATTCTCTGTGCTAAATGGTACAAATCTATCAAATTGGAGGGCAAGTGTGAAGAAAATGAAGATCAGGAGCTCATCAAGGTCTGATTTAAAGAAATATACACAAAAGCCAGCTTCTTGGATGCATATTTTATCAGTTTGTGTAAGAATAAAAGGAATGGGGCCTGAAGAGTCGGAAAGCTATTCTTGGCTCAACTCTTTGTACCCAATTCTTTCCTCTTTTTACGACATCTAACCAAATAATTTCAAGCCATGTTACTGTAAGAGCAAGGGTGGCGTGTAATGATCAGGCAGATTTCTTGTGCAAGACCTTCATGTTCCCACCTTGTAAATTTCTTCGCTTTATTCATTAAAGGCCTTTGACTTCTTTTTTCTTTTCCTATTTTGTTTTTCATTTTCTATATGGGAAAGCTAGTATGCACAGTCACTGAGCCATCTTTGTTCTAGCTACCAAGTTGTGCATGGAAATGAATTACTCTCTTCTGTCTTTTGAAATTGGTAGGACGGGAGCAGGTTTTTGTATCTCGTCGAATGTCTACCTAGTAACAATTCAATGCCCATGGACTAGTGTGGCCTTTGATTAATAAACATGGTATGGGAAATATATAAACAGACGGTGCTCTAATCACCAGATATTATCAATCACAAGAAATGTCTAATAAATAGATCAATCAAGTAAATGTTGCAAAAGTATCACTTATAAGCATAATAATCTCCAAAACGAAAGAACAAAACAAAAAAGCCTCTTTTTACCAGAAAAATCAACCTAGGATCCTACGTACTTGAATGTGGTGAATAGATTCTTTCCGCCATATTGGTTGAGCTCCACTTTGTACAAGCGTAACGTGGTCTCCATCTACCACGTGACCCTTATCCTGCAAACGTGGGAAATTTAAAACTATATCCTTGAGGATCTATAAACGAAAACACAAGGAAATAAAGACAGCAAAGTAACACAACAAGAAAACTAACCAGCAATAACTCGAGTGCTCTGGAGAACGTCTCTTCTGCATCACTTGAAAACTGCATGTAAATGGGCATGACCCCATGATAAAGCACCAGCCTTTGTTTGATCCTATCGCTGGATCAGACCATACTTTAGTTTCCCGTTTAAAGAAATGATTGGATAAAAATCAAATGAACCTAGATATTCTTCAAGTCGTCAAAAAAATTAAAAATACAGTTTAATGGAGACAGAAAATACACAAATGCTTCGCCCTCCAATCAGCAAATCCAAGTGTGAACTATAACCCATTAAGAGAAAGATAGATCTGGAACTTCACATAAATGGCATGTTAAATAACTAGCCATTTTCAAGGGTAATCTAAGATTTAGACCGGGCGGTAAGTCATGCACCTTGCATTGTTTTATCCCTATCTGGAGTTACAGATGCATAGACGATATCTATCCTGGATCCAGAAAGCTACTATTCAACTACAACTAATATTTCTTTTCTTTTTTTTTCTTTTTTCTTTTATATATATATATATATATATATATATATATATATATATATAACAAACTGAAGATATATTGATCCAAGAAGCATGCACAAAAGATGGGGAACAAGGTATCCCACAAAGCCAAAGGAGTACAGAAAGGCCTCCCAATTGGCAAAAATATGCCACAAATCATAATTACAAAAAAAAGTTCACATATAAATCAATAGCAAACTCTACATTTTCAACACAAACAATTCATACTTGTCATCACATATATAAAGTTGACCTGAATCAACAAACTGCATAAATTGAAGTGAAGTAAATATCATGATCAAACATGACATTCAAGGAAATTGCAATATATAACACTACTTCTGAACTTACTCGTCAGTGAAGGCAAAGATAGTAGAGCAGGGCCTGTAATGACTCAAGAGTATAGCCATGGAGCCAGTTCTCGTGAAAACGATGATAGGAGTCTTAAGGGTGTTGGCCATAGTGGTGGTATGGAAAGCAAGCATGTCTCCCATATGTCTCTGTCAGAATATGACAAATACATCAGATTTTGTGAAAAAAATAGATAACTTCTTATGATCTAGATTCAAATTAGGTGTTATGAGAAGATTTTTAACCCATTTAGGCAGAACAATTGCCTTCATCCCATGTCCCAACAACATCATAGAAGGAACATATGCTGACTAAGAAAACATAAATACAGAAAAAAAAGATAGGGGAAAAAAACATATATAAGACAACTTATATGTTACTGATAATAATACAAACCTTGTGGACACTCAATGGATTTGGAGTAGTAGAATTAACTGGAAGACTAGATTCCATCCTCAAAGCCACGGTGTGCATCCCGTTCACAGCCTTCAATGGATACCTAATATTTTTGCCATTATGAATCAAAAGATAAATTTAATATAAAAATGAAGACAATAAGGGAAAAAGAGGAGGTAATCTTTATGGCATCAACAAACAGAAAACAGCCTGAACTTCTTCAATGTTTAGCAATAAGTCAATAACTTGAAGCTCAATTGCAAAACTAGTAGACATAAAAAGCTGGTATGATGATGCGACATCAAGAATGACAGAAATTTTTCATCAACTCCAATCAAATAAGAAAAATGAACATTAGCATAATAATGCAAACGGGATATGGCATATTTCAATATATGCAAAACGCATTTACAACAAGAAAAGAAACCAAAACATCCTTACACGTTGTTGGAAGATCAAAGCACCTTGTTCCCCACCAATAGGTCTCAACAGAATACAGTTAGTTTTGAGTTCATTCAAATCATGTACAAAAATACTGCCAAAAAAAAAAAAAAACCCCGCCCAGATAATCAACTAAGATACATACTTTCCATGAGCAGTTTCTCCTGAAAGCATGATTGCATCAGCACCTTCTCGTACTGCAATAGAAATATCAGAAACCTCAGCTCTAGTTGGTGTGGGATGATCAATCATGCTTTCCAGCATGTTTGTTGCTACAATAACTGGTTTCTGCATGCTCTGACACCTTTTGATAATAGTTTCCTGACAGACAAGCAATGTGAAGTACTATTATATGATGTAATATGATAGAATGTTAGTCCTATTATCCTATTAACTTTACAGTCCTTGCCTACATTACTTTTAGTTTCGGTAACAAATGGAAGCTTTGTTTCTTACTGAAAAAATTAAGTGACGATTCTTTATTTCCTTGGAGTATTAAATGCTCAGTGTCATATCTCTAGCACCAATTTCTTTAATTCCGAACTAATACCTTTTCAAAGAAACTTCAACAATTTGGAAATAGATGAATTCCCATCTTCGTGTTTTAACATTTAAAAAGTAGAAGTCATTGCACTTCATGAAAACCAACAATCTTAAACCTTGGAATCAAGCAGTGAATTCAAGGTTTTGTTAACACATTTTTTTATAAACAACTTCATTGATGAATGAAATTACACCAGAAGGAAAATAAATCCCAATCCAAGTGAGTTAAAAAAGACATCTCCAATTGGACAAAAGAGAGTCAAAGCTGTAAGAAGAAATAGGCAATTTACACCAAGATATCGTACTGAAAATAACATGATCTAAGAAAATATCAAAAGGATGCACTTCATCGATGAAGATATGACTATTTTGCTAAATTCTCTAATGAGGTGCATAATAAGAGCCTCATCCTTCCTTCGTTGGTGCACAAAACAATTATCCTTTCCTACAAAATCCTCTTGGTTTCCATGAAAAACTTTTAAGACTATTGTCCAATTCCAACCCTCTAGAAATTACATAAACTTAACTCAAAAATTGCAATTTCCATCAGACTACAAGACGATGCAATTTCTCTCCTTAAAAAGTTTTAATAAATATAAAGGAAGGATACATAAGCTACAAACATGTATTTCCAAAATTTACAAAATTTACTCCTATATTTTAAAAATAGTTCAAAACACTCTTGGGTTCATGTTTTGCTCGTTCTATCAATTCGTTAGTTGAATTCAACATAAATCTTTCCTATAGATCAAGTTTCCCCAACTAGCATATTAATCATAAGAATTTTCTTTTTATCTCTCTTCCAAAGAAAAATTCGTCAATAAATGGGTCGTAATCAGATGTATTTCTCATTCGTCATTCTCTCTTGTCAAGCTCTCATACTTGCCAGGGTTGAGGAGGCAATCCATGAGCTAATTGGAACTCAAATTGCGTACACACAAAAAAAAAAGCTCACTTTCTACTTTCTACCTCCGCGTTTTGTGCCCAATTCTTGTGGGGTAAACGGAGCCCTTCTACTTCTAATTAAAGGCAAACAGTTGCCATTGCAAGCAAATAACACCCACCACCCCCCCAATTTATCTGTCATGTTTGGATTAAGCTGCTAGGTTTGGGGTGGAAGTGAAAACCAAAAAATTGAAAAAACCACGCAAACCGACCGAAACTGCCATTAGTTTGGTTTGGCAGTTATAAATAAACCTATTATATTCTGCTGGTTTCTCCTTTTGAAAAAAAACCAACCAAATGTATCCGAGCCTACCAGTACTATCTACATTAAAATTCATACTTTGTATTAGCAACCCAGTGGCTTCGAAATCTCTCCACCATCGCTGGTGACATGCATTCAAGTTTCGTGAAACACAGTTAACTATTTCCATTTCAGTTATTTACACATGACAGGTGGCCCAGCCAATCCCAGCAACCCAATAGTGCAAAGTCCAGCCAAAATAACCTGTTTGTGGCTTCCTCCCACCCAACAACGCAAAGTCATCCCAAATAACCCCCACCCACCTTCAATCCGAGCTGACCCAACCCTAACACCTGGGATTTAAGTAAATGGGGAACCGCCAGACCAAACTAACTAAACAGTTGGCAATTGGTTCAGGGCGGTTTGTTTAGATTCATTTAGCAGTTCTATTCTTCGATTTTTTTTCAAATACTTGGTGGTTCACAGTTTGACACTCAAACCTAGCCGAACCAAACCGATTATGCCCCAGCTAGGTTTCTTCAGTTTGCATTAGTGTTTTTGGCATAATAGTGGAGAACCATAACTCCAATGACTTTGCGAACATAGATATTCAAAGAAAAATAATTTACTCTCTGGTCCAGCTGTCAAAGGTGTTTTTGTGAGATGGGGCAGAGAGAAATCAGACTTAGAAGCTATAATGCAAAAGATCTCAAGGATGTTAGCTAGCTTTGGCTTCTAGCTGGTGTATTCTTTTCAAAATTCTGTAATATTATAATTGATTTATGATCAATGCCAATTCTAGTCTTTTCTATGTCGAGACACAAATCATGTAACTAAAAAGGTTAATCTGGAACTGGAACTAATGTTGCAAAATGGAAGGGTGATGATTGACAGAGTACTAGTAACCATAGAGTTTTACCTGCAATAAAGGAACTTCCTCGATTGGAAGTTCAGCCCCAAGGTCTCCACGAGCTACCATTGCCTAAAA